CGTTTTTTTTTTTTTTTTTTTTTTTTTTTTTTTTTTTTTTTTTTTTTTTCCCAATAGCGACCCAAGTCCTTACAGGAACGGGTGAACGGAAACGAGGACCACGTATCACCACCACACTCATGCGTGAACAACCGGCCGCGCCCACCAGTACTCACGGTAGTGGCGCAATTTGACAGCGAAGGAAAGATAAGCCTGCGGATTCATCTCTCTCTCTCTCTCTCTCTCTCTCTCTCTCTCTCTTGCGCGCGCGCGCGCACGGAGACATCTCCTGTCACTCACGCCGTGTGTGTCGTTGATGACGTGATTGGACATCAATGGTATTGGACTTATGAGTATTCAGATTATAATACTTCTGATGAACAATCACTTACTTTTGATAGTTATATGAAGCGAGACATCGAAAGATGTCATGATGCTCCTACTCTGATGGCAATCCCTTCTATCTTATTACTTATCTATGGAGTGATTTTGAGCACTTCAAAAAGATATGATTATCCACCATTAGTGCGTAATGTGGGATGGTTGGGTTTACTGAGTGTTTTGAATACTATATTAATATGTTGATAGAAGATTTATATTGTATATTGTCATAAAAAAAATATACAATATAGAAAATCAAAGAATAAAAAGTAAAAGTTGTCGAGGACGATCCGCACTTCACCATGCAAGTATGACCGATCGTCGAAAGCAGAGTCAGCATGGACGACGTACATTGCYGGCTCGTCGAGACGGCTTGCGAACCCCATCGGCATGTTAGACACCAGGAGGTCGATGATGTMTGACAAGACGTCCGAACCTCCGACCCAACGGTCGGGGATTGCCATGCCCACCTTCCGCGCRAAGACGATCACCTGCCTAAGGAGCCTCTTGCCATATCCAAAGGTGACTGTAAGATAGAGGCACGTCTCTTCATCCGCATCGACCTCGTTATGGCGGACTCCGTGTTTTGTAACCCCGTTCTCGAACCCGAAGTCCCTGCCATAGTCCTTCCGACGCCGGTGTCGCATCATGTCCAGTATGATGGTGCGACCCAGAACCCATCCCCTCAACGCCACATCAACCTCCATCTACAAAAAGACCCACCCCCCGGCCCCCCCGCCTCCTCCAACCTCCCAACCCATGTTCACGCGAGCTCCTCAATCGAACCCCACACAGCGCACTTCAGGAAGCCGTTCCACCCACTGCTCGCTGCCCGCATTCCACAGGACACACAATGTCCACCACCGAACTCACTATCGCGTCGGGGACCTGGTGATGCCCTTGTCATTGCGGCTGGTCGGCGTCGTCGGCGTTTTTATAAGTGAGAACCGTCGGGATGTCCTCATCGACGTCCGCCCTCCCCCTAACGTTCAGCCGTCCGATGGCCTCCGCCCATCGACGGACAGTTGTGCACGGCCATGCGACTGACAAGACATCGAGAGAAGGGGGATAAAAAGAGGGATGGGCAAAAAAAAACGGTGCGAATAGCGTGCGAAGGGAGTTCACGAACAGCAGTGGCAAGCATTCATGCGAAAAAATGGGTTGCCATATGCTGATTGGTCGCGGCGGGTCGTCATACATTTTGCCGTCCACCGGGGCGATTGCAATCAGCTCCGAGCCAACGCAAATGCTATCTTCAGCAAAGCATCGCACAACATGAGCTGACTAGCTTCCACCACTTCGCACTGTTTCTCCTGCGTCCTCGCCTCCCTTTCCATGATGTCGCATTGTCGTTGCAGCACATGGCATTGACGCTTGCTAGCACGATCCACAGAATCCGCGACGACCGTTGAATGTGTCTTTATCACGCCCGTCACAACATCGAAGGCGAGCTGCCTCGCATTCTTCCGCTTCCCCGCTGGTGTTCCCCCTAAAGACCTGCTGCCATACCTTCCCCCGAGTCCCTTTCCATCCGTGCCGGTCCCATGAACATGACCGGCACCGGTCACCTGAACCTGTCTGGCACCTGCACCTGAACCTAACCGGCTGGTCACCGGGGCCAAAATCAGTGAACGACCGTTCACGGCGGCCGTTTACGGCTTTTCCGCCCACCAGGGCGCCGGTACGGTCAGCATCGGGGTGGGAGGGTGGTGGTGCGGGGGCCTTCTACACCCCCGTGCCTTCAAATCTTAAAAAAAAAAAAAAAAAAAAAAAAAAAACAGAACACGTATCTTAGAAAAAAAATAATAATAATAAAATAAAATTGGGGGGTGGAGGTGGGTGGGTTGTTGGCGCAGGGCCCTGAAGGAAATGAGGCCCGACTTTTTTTTTTTTTTTTTTTTTTAGTATGGCTGGCAGCCTTCCGCAGCTCATGATGTCATCATAATATCATCATAATTGTTTTTGTTTTGGTCAAAAACAGCCTGCGAATGCCCCACACGGCCGACGAAAGCCATGCCTAACACAGCCGAACTTGATTTTTTTTTTTTCAATAAAATTTAAAAAATATATTCCAATCGGAAAATCGAAGAAAACATGGGCAGGTGCCTATTGACATGGAGCACAAACGTGTGCAAAGAAAATACCCCCCTACAAGCCAAAAAAAAAAAAAAAACGAAGTTCCCGCTCTGCGTGAACTCCAACCAGTCACCAAACACATAACTGGTGACCGGCCCGCGTTCACCCGGGCTGTGAACGGTGAACAGGGGTACGACACTGGTTTCCATGTTGTCGCTCCCAGACGTTTCCCCGCCGAACGTCCGACCTCTAGCTAGGCTTTGCTCACCCTTATTTGCTTGTTGGGGAGGAAGTCCACCGGTGTCACATAGATTAGGCGGGTGTATGGCCTGATTGTTGGGTGTAGTCGTGTGGATGGCGTTGTACAGTTGTCAATCCATCGCGAACTTATACCTCAGTTTTTTCCGTTTCTTCGATGTCAACAGGAAAAAAGACTGCAGGCCAGAGTCTTTCTCCCCATCCCAGATTTTCGTGTACCACCCGAAGATGTTCTCCCACCTTTTCATGCACAAGTCTCCATCTCTATTTGTAACCCCTTGCTGGGCCATATGCTTTGCTATCTCGTTCCATTTCCACGTCTTCGTCTTCATCCGCGCGAAGTTGCTCCTCTGGCTGGCCATTTGATCGTCAACATCCCTTTTGCACGGGACAAGGACGAGCGAATCGTCCAATCCCAATTCTTTTAGTTTCTTCCTCCACCCGCCTCGCCATCAGCATCCCCTCCACCATCTCTCGCCTTCGACTTCCCACGACTCTTTGTCGTCTTTTTCTTCGCGGTTTTCGGTGTGACTTCCTTCAGCACAACGTCGTCATCCTCCTCGCTTTCCTCCTCGTCATCCGTGCACTCCTCCTCAGCCTGCGCCCCCTGCACACCTCCCTCATCCGCTTCAACGTCGGTACGCATCCTCGAGTACCTCGCTATGATCCTCTCTATCACCTGGGGGGACTCTGCAGCAGTTGCTCTCGCCACCGTTCTTGTAGGACAGGTCTGCTGCAGTGGCGAGCGTCCCGGATCGCAAGAGGATGGCAAAATGCTATGGCTTCCCCTACATGCTGACGATGACATCGGCGGCCGTTGTGTCACCGTTCCATCTTCACAGGCGTCCTACATTGTCACGGACACCCCACCTTGCGACTCACTGCGAGCACGGTTCAAGAGGCATCCATTGTGCAAATCGGCGAGAAGTGCAGTCGTAGAGGATCAGACCCCCCACAAGCGGGATCCGCCAAGAGGGAGGACATCGGACCCATCCCCGGGCCGCGGTGATCAGATCGAGGGACAAGCTCGTCCGAGGTTTTTGTCAATCCCCAAACGAGAGGAAGGGTGGAAGGTAGTTGCACCTATACCTCATCATCCGACAAAGGCTGCATGTACGAAGGCAGGTGTGCGTACAGGGCAGGATCGAATCGGTAACGCATTCCGTCAGGAACCCCGATGCTCACCCCCGTGCCCATCTAGTACATCTGTCCCGCAGGAAGACTATCATCGCTCATCCCCTTCCTAGCAGTCATTCCTTTGCCGGCCTTCTACCCCGCCTTCTTTCGCGGACGAGCCGTGCTATGCGTCAACAGCTGGCGTAGTTGCAACAACACGACGACGAGCAAAGCCACAAGAAGAAATGCCAGCAAGGTCGTCTTCCTTACGAGGTCTGCCATACGCACACGTGCGGAGAGATGCACACAAGCACAAGCCGTGGCAGTGGTGAAAACGACAAGGCATATGTGCTTCCCACTGTAACGCGGGCACTAGTAGTGTTGTGCAACAGCTCCGAGGGACGTCTGTGTTCTGCGAGAAGCCGAACGGGGAAGGCCATCAACTGGCCGTTCGCAGGTAAGGTGCTGCCAGACGCGTGTTCCGAATTCGAACCACTAGTAGTGTTGTGCAACAGCTCTCTATAGGTGGCGGAGGACGGAGATGGATAATCACACCCATGCGTGCATCATCAGATGTGGCACTAGCAATCGTTGTGATATCTTTTTCGGTGGTGTATCGCTCTTTGTATCTGGCTTTATGCATGTCTCACAATCTTTCTTTTGTTTTTGTTTTCATGAACTATTTTACATATGTTTTTCTTTATCCGTTTGCTTACATTACACACGTCATGATAAGCACGCCGTGAGCAAGACAACACATGAGAACTACATGTTCTATAAGCAATAACAATAAAAAAGGAACTTGCGCGGATCTTCAAACGATCGACCATAATCACAAACATTATGAGTGACAATCTTCAAACGATCGAACATAATCACAAACATTAGGAGTCACAATCTTCAACGTAGTCAAAAACGAACTTGCGCGAATTGGAGTTAAATGAGGCAGAAGTTCGTATCCGATAATTAAATTTTTCTTTAACCATTAACCCCAGCTAATCTGCGACGCTCAGACAGCTCCCCCGCTTCATCTCTGCAAACGCCCAATACCAACGGGCAACTCCCCCCCCCCCCCCCCCCCCCCCCCCCCCCCCCCCCCCCCCCCCCCCCACCCCCCCCCCCCCCCCCCCCCCCCCTCCCATGCGCTAATTAATCGGCAGGATCGATCCTTACACAAGCGACGACAAACCGTAAACAAGCCACACGTGGCACTCGGGTGACACACGGTCCTGAAAGGCAGCCCCGTCGGGAACCTTAACGTCGCTAACACAACTCCCTATCCCATGTGCATGCGCAGACCATCACGCAGAGTGAGGGCAACCTCCGTGGTGTTTGCCTGGCAGACGGGCCGCGACAAATCCTGCAAACCCAGATCGATGGGGACGGGGTTCCCATCCCGGTCGAGGTCTAGCAACAAACCCTTGTCGAATGCGACCCCGGCCTCGAGCAGGAGGTTGTGGAGGATGCAAATCGCAACGAATTGCTGCGGGAGGTTATTTATATTCGTCTTTTGATGAAGAAGGAATAACCTCCACATCCCCTTCAGTCGTCCGAACACTCTCTCCATGACCCCTCTCGTAGTCTTCTGAAGCGTGCCGAACAGTGCCCCGTATGGGATGACAATCCACGTCCGCGGCGCGTAACCGTTGTCCCCAAGCAGGTACCCCGTCATCCTCACCCCTCCCGGGAGGACGATGGGGTCCGTATTGAAGATCGCACCCGATTCTGCTCGCCTGATGAGTGAAGAGTTCTGCAGCACGCGCTGGTCGTGGATGCACCCAGGATAACCGACGAAGACGTCGATTATCCGCATGTCGTGGTCGACGACAACCTGTGCCACGGCCGAGAACCGCTGCTTCCGATCAAAAGTAGTTATCGGACGGCGCGTTCGCAGGCTTGTCCACATAAATGTGGGTGCAGTCAATGGCGCCGAAGCAATTCGGGAAACCTTTCCCGCTGACAGCTCGGAGGACCTGTAGGAGACGACGACCGGATGGAATTGCGATCTTCTCCGGATACGCGGCCAAGATGGCAGTTGTCACATCTTGGACGGCCTTGATACCTGAAGACCTCCCTATGCCGAACGGCGGCGTGCTGCTCTCAAATNCCGGATACGCGGCCAAGATGGCAGTTGTCACATCTTGGACGGCCTTGATACCTGAAGACCTCCCTATGCCGAACGGCGGCGTGCTGCTCTCAAATCTCTCTCCAGACGCCTACCGATACAATGCGCACGCCACTATATGGTCGGGCTGCAATGGCTCCCGATAGTGAGTTAGCGTGCGATGAAGGAAAGGACAGCACGCCGCCACTATGTCATTGAAGACCGTCCCCGCCATCCGCAGCTTGTCATGGCAATACTCGTCGGTTGCATCATGGGCGATGGTGAGGTCCCTCCATGTGCCACCTGTCCTTCTTTTCAACCACCACCTCGGTGTCTTCCTCGGCATCACACTCGCCATGATGGCATTCGGCAGCAGGACCGGCGCATCCCATAGACCTGGCGAGGATTGCACGTCCATCAAAGCCTGGGCTATGGCGGCCTCCCGTCTGCCAAGGTCTCTTCCGCTGGCCCGCCGCAGGTCGTTCACCGTCTGCATGTGCCGAGAAACTGCAAACTGCAAGCAATGCCGTTCCTAACAGCGACCTCTCCCTAGGTGTCAGCCTCCGCGCCCCTGCTGCATCGCCCATCCTGTTTTCCATCGCTGCGAACAAACTGCGAACACGCGCAAAGCTCGCTTGCGGGCTGGCGGGATATGGTGAGCAAAGTCCGAAGGCGGAAGGGCGCGCAAAGCTCAATTGCGGGCTGGCGGGCTATGGCGAGCACAGTCCCAAGGATCAGGGGTGCAGCCGACGCATGTCCGCGTGAATTCAAATTCAAATTCGCTCCGCCGCGCGCATTTTTCACTGCGATGGCTCCCGCCTTCGTGCGCCCGGTAGGCTGCCCACCCAAACGCTATTGTCCCGGAAATTGCATATCCCGCAGGCCCGTGGGCATGGACAACTTCTTGTCCGCCAAACCGCCTTCACGGACATCCGTGGCCGACAGGCCGAGAATCTGACAACAGCCCCTCCTCACCTCATATGTGTAAGGGCGAGTAAGTGTAGGGTGTTGTGGAACGAAAAAACAAGTCAGGGTAAATTAATCACCCTCGGCCAGTTAGGGCTCCCTTNCCTCATATGTGTAAGGGCGAGTAAGTGTAGGGTGTTGTGGAACGAAAAAACAAGTCAGGGTAAATTAATCACCCTCGGCCAGTTAGGGCTCCCTTACAAAGTGAGGATTTTCTAGTGGTGTGGAACGAGGCCCTGAGGAGCACTTTTCCCTTTATGTACTAGGTACATTATCAAAGGTGAGGCAGGGATAACTCGGACATCTCAACCCCGAGAAAAAACTGGAGCTGTTACCCAGGTTTTTTTTGTTTTTTTTTTGCCCCAAGGCGAACAACACGAGTTCATGCTAGGGGTGCAGGTCGGAGCAGGCAGCACTAGCACTCCTGGGGCTAGGTCCCACTTACACTAATTAAGCGATATTGACCGTAGATAGCAAAGATCAATTGCCAGAATCTCTTAATCCGTGAAAGTGCAACCTTCTCCCCGGGGAGGATCCATCTATTGGTGGGGACCACCACCTAGCTGGAAAGCGGGTCCAGCATCCCTGAACGATCTGATTGAATGTTTAAACCACCAGTACTTGGCCCAGCTATGGCAGCCGAGCCTGGAAGTGCACTGCGCGCCGTTTCCCGCCGAAAAGCCAATTCGATTTTGGTTTTCGGAAAGGCTGGCGGCCAGCCTTCCAGGTCCGGTTGCCCGAGGCGCGAACTTCGCGTACCGTTAACGCTAAGGCCCGCGGCCGATACTGGTGGTTTAAGCAAACTAGCGGCTGCAGTGTAAAGACTGTTAGCTCCAGGGCCCACCTACAGAAAACAGATTATGACGCCTATGTTGATAGCGTACATGATAACACAGGTAAGTGATAGCATACACCAGTCCSGTGACCGCTTGTAAAAGGACTCTGCTTGTGTCGTTTTTCCCAGCTCGAAACCCCTTTGTGTTTTCTGCTCCCGTTTGTGACTGTAATTAATTCCCTACATGACAGCACTYGGCTAGTGATAATATACACCACTGTAACCGCACTCCACTCCCTCTTGGCTGTTGGTGCTATCACTTATGTTTGATCCCCAGGCCGTTACCCAGCT